TGCCCGACCTTATCAAAATATTCTTGTCTTTCACTATCTGTACGGCTTCTTGAAGGGCTAACTGTACAGCCTTCAATTCCAACCAATTTATATGTTTTAGTTGGTAAGACTTTGGCCATATTCCTGATGTCTGCCAAGTTTCTAAATGAGCTCCCCATCCTAGTTCTGAAGCATCTGTGATCAAAGTCAACTGAATTGTGGGCTCCTGAAAAGGCATTCCTTTGAAAATAGTTGTCCGATGTGTCCACCATTTTAAATGTACTGTCAAGCTCATTCGTACAGGAATGAACTGATTCAATGGCTGGATGTTTGGCCTCCATATTGCTAACAAATAAAGTTGGATTGGCCTCATATGTAATCTGCCCATGGGTATTAGGTAAATGCATGAAGCCATCAGACCTAGTAATTTTAAAATTACTACTGCTTGAATCTGTTGACTGCTTAATAATGCATGTATTATTTCCAAAATACTTTGAAATCTTGTCTCTGTTGGTGTTACTATCCCTTTCTCTAGATTGAAAAGGGCTCCCAAGTATTCTATATGTTGGGTTGGTATTAAGTTTGACTCTTTCTGATTTACCAGAAGTCCCAAATCTTGAACTAGACTGAGTACAAAATGCATTTGCTTTACAAGAGCTGTTCTGTCTGAATTGCTGATCAGCCAATCGTCTAGATACATGAATACCTGAATCATTAACTTTCTTAGGTATGCTGCCAATACAGCCATGATCTCTGTGAACACTCTTGGGGCAGATTTGAGCCCTAAAGGCATTGCTCGAAATTGGCAGCTGTGACCTAGAAATCGGAATCTAAGGAATTGTTTGAAATCTGTGTGAATTGGAATATGAAAATATGCATCTGCTAAATCCAAAGTTACTGCATAGTCTCCCTTTTTTAAAGCTTTCATAATTGAACGGAGAGTTTCCATTTTGAAATGATGAGGCACTACTAATTGGTCTAGAGGTTTCAGATTGAGAATCGGTCGCAGACCTCCTTGTCGTTTCGGAACTACGAAAACTGTGCTGTAATAACCCACATTTTCTTGCCCAACAGGAACATGTTCTATAACATTTTTTTCTAATAAAACACGTATTTATGTTAAAATAACCGACTTGTGAATACCATATCTTGGAACACTTGTCTCTTTTATGTTAAGACATGGATGACTCAAAAACTCCAGTTTTAGTCCTTCTAGTAAAGTTTCTAAAACCCATTGATCTCCTGTGATCTTTGTCCACTTCCAGTGAAACATTAGCAAACGTGCCCCTACCTGAGGACTTATATTTACAGTTTGTAAAAGGTTCTTTGAACTTACTTCCTTGGAGCTGGGAAACCTTTTGGACTCCCAGCTGCTTTCCAAAAATTTCTTTCCTTGAAAAATTTCCTGCACGAAAATTATCTTTGTTGGAAAAAGTGTTTGTTCTGGCAACTTTAGCTCCACGATCAGAATTGTCAGAATAGTCACCTTTCCTCTTTCTGTTATAGTCATTTGCAGGAGTGCGATCATCTCTAGACTTGTTAAAGTTCTTGCTTTAACTACCAGCATTATTATAAACATTCTGGGTCTCTCTAGCATCCCGTAAATTCACTGCTGATCTATGCAGTGTGTCAAAGTATTGTCCATTAAAAAGTTGACTGCCAAAAACGGGCAATTTCAACAACTTCTTTTCTGTAGACTTACTAATGAAGTTAACATTTTTCAGAAAAAGTTTCCTTCTACTTAATACTGAATTTGCCATAATTCTGCCTGTTATATCAGCCATACTTCTAAAGCAATTAATTAATGCTTTACGTCCTTCAATCCTAGCATCCTCACAAGTTGCCTCATCCAAAAAGGCAGAAATCATAGTACCATATGAAACTGCTCTAAAAAGTGCCCTGGCAGAATTATCAATACGACGAAAATCATTATCTAATTCTCTGTGAAAAGGTGGAATATTAACTCCAGATTTAACAGAATTGCCTTTATGACCAATAGCTACCCCTTCCTCAATATTGCCATCTAACTTAGGACTACAGAAAGCATTAACATCATCTTTCTTAACCATGAAAGCCTTATCATCCCTGCCACGAGCAGCTCGGTTTTTCAAATGACCAGAGATAACTTCCTTTTCTACAGATGTTACCATTTCAATAATTGTACCTTCCAAAAGTTATTTAATTGCTGATTTTTTATCGTTCTTGTCAGGTTTTAATCTTGCCGAAACAAAAGAAGGACGTTCCTGATCTTAAGCCTCTAAAGATTCAGGTTCTATATTGAGAACTGTTGCCATTTTATAAATAAATGAAACCCACTCAATTGGATCAGAAGCACCAGGTGCCCCTTGAGGTACCTCGATTAAGGTGCATGTAAACATTTGACTAGATCGTGGCGATGAAGACCCATCATCAATCTTTTCTTCTGGATCAAGATAAGAAACCTGATCTTGATCAAAATTCGTCATTGAAGACATCTGATCGTCATAGCTTTTGAATTTGTCAAAATGTGGCCTTTGGTTTTGGGCAGTAGCAGAACTAGGCTTTCCAGGAGGTTAATCTTCAAGAACATCAGCATTGAAATCAATCAATTTCTTTTTTAATAAGTTTTGTATTTGTAATTGTACCTGTTCTTGTACAATGGCCGAAATATCGACCATACAAGTGCTGTTGTCCGGCGTATTTTCAGTGACAGTGTCGTCATTTGAAGCTCTGACTGCCCCCTCCACAGGTGGACTTATGTCTTTGAAATCTGTCAATCCGTCTACACGGGCGGGTTGATACAGTTTATTCAATTTAATTGTCTTCTGAACACTTTTTTCAATCATTTTCATGATCAAACTTGGATGCTCCTTTGACCAATTTTTGCAAATTTTGCATGGGAATGACTCGTTACAAATACGATGTTTGTAACATTCATCGTGGTCATCCAGAGTGTTCATCTTGTCAGGACACCTTACACACTTCTTAAACTTATCTTCCTGTTTCTCTATCTTACGATTCAAATTCTTATTATCCAAATAAACGTACGGGGAAATCAACGCATATGCTTTAATGGCGGACGCCGAGAGAAACTGAAGAGTTATGCAAGGAAGATAACTGGAGGTATTACCGTATTTATAATAAAAAATGGGGAATGTGTCCATGGGACACAGATGATGCCCCCGATTGCATATAATGTTATAAAGGGATATAACTCAAGAACTGTAAAAGTGACGCTACCCAAATTTGAACTTGATCTGAGTTTTGTGATAATAAGCATTGTGTATACATTTCATAACATTTGGTTGAGCAAACTAAAGTAAGACCTATAATGGTTTACTTTTATAAATTGTAACTTGGATGGAGAGTTGTCTCATTGGCACTCATACCACATCTTCCTATATCTATAAGAGAACGGAAACGAAAAATTGAGCAATTTTTCCATTTGTAGAGGGGCATAACTCTAGAACAGCAAAAGTTACGCCACCAAAATTCGAACTTCATCTGTGTTTTGTGGTTATAAGCATTGTGTATAAGTTTCATAACATTTGGTTGCGGCAAACTAAAGTTAAAGAACGGAAACGAAAAATTCAGCAATTTTTCCACTTATAAAGGGGCATTACTCTAGAACAGTAAAAGTGACGTAACCAAAATTCAAACTTAATCTGTGTTTTGTGGTAATAAGCATTGTGTATAAGTTTCATAACATTTGGTTGAGGCAAACTGAAGTTAGAGAAGGGAAACAAAAAATCTAAATACATGTTTAGATTCAGCATATCAAAGAACCCTAAGAATTCAATTTTTGTTAAAATCAAACTAAGTTTAATTTTGGACCCTTTGGACCTTAATGTAGACCAATTTGAAAACGGAACCAAAAATTAAGAATCTAAATACACGGTTAGATTCGGCATATCAAAGAACCCCAATAATTCAATTTTTGATGAAATCAAACAAAGTTTAATTTTGGACCCTTTGGACCTCAATGTGGACCAATTTAAAAACGGGGCCCAAAATCCAAAAACTAAATACACGGTTAGATTCAGCATATTAAAGAACCCCAAGAATTCAAGAATAAAACCCCATTGAAATTGGTCAAGAAATAAGCAATTTATACGAAGTATCTTCTTTTGCACAATACTGTGCAATTAAATATTTCTTGCTATTGCGCAATATTGTGCTATTGGATATTTCTTGCTATTGCGCAATACTGTGCAATTGAAGATTTCTTGCTATTGCGCAATACTGTGCAATTGAAGATTTCTTGCTATTGTGCAATACTGTGCAATTGAAAATTTCTTGCTATTGCACAATACTTATTATATAATAATTTACACATCCTGTTTGGTGTGTATCTCCTACCATATCATTATTATTTGCTTTTAAATATAAATCAGAAATAACCAACTTAAAATGGAAAATTTTAAAAGAAAAAAAAAGGAAAAAAAGAAAAAAAAGGAAAAAAAAAAAAATTCCCCCCCCAAATTTTTTGAACCCCCTTATGATTCAACACCCCCAAACTCAATCCCAGCCTTCCCTTTGTGGTATGGTACCTTGCAGTACAATTTCAGAGAGATCCATACACTAACACACAAGTTATGTCTGGAAGTTACAAAAATGCTTATTTTTGGCCCCTAATTCCTTTGCTTTTGGTACCATAACCCCCAAAATCAATCCCAACCTTCCTTTTGTGGTATTGAACCTTGTGGTAAAATTTCATTGAGATCCATTCAGTTAAACTAAAGTTAGAGTGCCAAAACCAATGTGTCTTCGGACGACGCCAACGTCAAACCAATATACGACCACAAAAATTTGTTTGCGGTCGTATAAAAATGTGACAAGGATAAGCTTTACCTGGTTAAAACATATTTACTCCTGTATGTATTCCTTGATATTTATCTCTTTATCATTTGGAGGTTATATTTGCTGTTATCAGTATGACTTGTCTTGCTTTTGTAAACTTATACCTTTCCATCATTACTATAACTAAATGTATATTTTTGTGTTGGGCAATATTATTTTCTGTTTTAAAATTAAAACATATGTAACCATATTTTCTTTTATTAATAAATACAGCAACAAGAATAACACAATGTAACAAAATATCTCGCATAACAAAGGTTAAAGTTTGTTTTTAAAATACCTCAATTATAAATGTACACACATTCACTGTTAAAGCAACTGTTTTATTTACCTTTCATTACAAGAAGACACAAAGGTTGCTAGGCTGGTCTAACATGACTTTATATTCAGCAATTTGTCTAAAACAATATTTTTTTACTAAATCATTTTTTTATCAGAAAAATTGTGTCACGTATTTCTTTGACTGATGATTGCTGATGTCTAAATTCAAACTGCAAATCTAAAAATCAATTTATGTGCCTTTTGCAACAAATATAAAAAAATTCATAACATTACAAAAAGGAAAAAATGTACACAGTTAAAAATTTATACCTCTTGATATATGATATTTATTAGTGTAATGCTAATCTTATCACAATTTCCTAACTGAAAAAATTTATAAATTTTGCCACTGAAAAAAATACAAATGACGTTATACCCCTTTACACCAAATGTAAACCGATTTGGTAATAAGAGCTGAATTGTGAGTAATGCTGCGGCAGGCCTGATGTCACATGTACCAAGTACTACCACTTTCTTACAGTCTCTATTAAAATAGCAAAAAATCAAGGGAATTACCTAGACCCCAAAAAGGGAATAAAAAAATCATCTTTTCATTCTTTAAACTGGCATTTTTTTCATGATAAATAATTTGCATAAGTCTTTATCAAAGAATGTGAAATAACTTTTCATGATATGATGATCTTTAAAATAATATATACTTTGGATGTTTGTTTATTCTGGACAATGTTAGAAATACTAATATCTTCCAAAAATATGTAAATCAGTTCTGACAGTCCAAAACTGACTACATAAAATAGTGGGGGCAGTTTTTAACAAAAATATCTTCAGTGAGCATTCTCTATTGAACATCTTAAAACTCAGGGCTACCAGTTCACTATTTTTCACATTTACAGCTCTTCTATAAAAGCATGCAAAGCAAACCTTTGATCAATTTGCTTGCTATGTTTGTTTGGATGTTTGTAAACAAAAGGTAGGTAGTCTGTTTCAGTCTGTTTACTATATAATGGAATTTGATTGGACAATAAACATTAACTTCATTGCATGTCAATTTTTATTGTCCAATCAAATCCCAGTATATATAAAACAGACTAAAACTCAGCCTACCTATTGTTTGCAAACATCCAAGCAAACATAGCAAGCAAGTTGATCAAAGGTTTGCTTTGCATGCTTTTATAGAAGAGCTGTAATGAATACTACATATAACTTTTTCTCTCTTCGTCTCTCTAATCAAATGGAAAGCACAAGCATATGACAAGCTTATCTCTTTCTATGTAGTTTTTTTTCATGACTTTTCAAATTTGATAGCATGTCAATAAGTCAGTATCAATGTTTTCATAAATCACAATTTCATGCCTTGTAGATTGTTCTGAACATTTAACACTTCCTTTTCTTGTCTTTTCATCTCTGATTTAAACATTTCTTTATTCTGTTTCTTTTCCTGTCTTCTTTCCTGAAACAGAATCATTTGTTGAATATTTTTTTCATTAATTATATCTAGCAAGATTTTCAATTTAAAAGATCTCTTTACATTGATTTATAATAGTATCTTTTTTCTCCCATTTATTTATTTTATTTATAATGTTTTTATAAATTGTTGATCGTTCAATGCTTTTTTCTTCATATTCCAACAAATATTATGGCTAGAAAGAAATACAGATGTTCTAACACTTTATAGACACTCTCAGTTCCAATATGAATTCATTCCTGTAAACTAGTATCTGATAAAAAGTTTCAGCCCATCAGAAAGGTTGAAGATTTATTCACCAGGTGCAGATTTAAAAGGAATGAATTTATCTTGCAATTTGAAAATCTCTTTGATTTATCAATAATTGAAAAGGCACATGTCACTATATAATCAGTTAAATTTATGAACAATAATTCTCTTAATAACTGTAGGTTTGTCACAAGTTGTCAGTGTTAACTATAAAAGGACATTGAACTTGTACCAATACACTAAAAACTTTAAAAACCTTATTACTCTTGTAATAACCTTAGTGACATCAGTGCAAAGAATTTTATCTAAGAAGTGTATATCAGAGGTTCCTTAGAATGTTCAGAAATCTTCATTATACTGATCTGAGAACACAGGATTCATCATTTATACAATACATATTTAGCATTTTATAACATGTGCATACTATTGATACCTTAAATCAAACATCCAATTTTAAGTGTTACCCTATTGGAGTTTTCTATGGTCTTTTCTTGGAAAGTTTACATCCAATTTTAAGTGTTACCCTATTGGAGTTTTCTATGGTCTTTTCTTGGAAAATTTACATCCATTTTTAAGTGTTACCCTATTGGAGTTTTCTATGGTCTTTTCTTGGAAAGTTTACATCCATTTTTAAGTGTTATCCTATTGGAGTTTTCTATGGTCTTTTGTTGGAAAGTTTACATCCAATTTTAAGTGTAATCCTATTGGAGTTTTCTATGGTCTTTTGTTGGAAAGTTTACATCCAATTTTAAGTGTTACCCTATTGGAGTTTTCTATGGTCTTTTGTTGGAAAGTTTACATCCAATTTTAAGTGTTACCCTATTGGAGTTTTCTATGGTCTTTTGTTGGAAAGTTTACATCCAATTTTAAGTGTTATCCTATTGGAGTTTTCTATGGTCTTTTTATTGGAGTTTTCTATGGTCTTTTGTTGGAAAGTTTACATCCAATTTTAAGTGTTATCCTATTGGAGTTTTCTATGGTCTTTTGTTGGAAAGTTTACATCCAATTTTAAGTGTTACCCTATTGGAGTTTTCTATGGTCTTTTGTTGGAAAGTTTACATCCAATTTTAAGTGTTATCCTATTGGAGTTTTCTAGGGTCTTTTGTTGGAAAGTTTACATCCAATTTTAAGTGTTACCCTATTGGAGTTTTCTATGGTCTTTTGTTGGAAAGTTTACATCCAATTTTAAGTGTTACCCTATTGGAGTTTTCTATGGTCTTTTGTTGGAAAGTTTACATCCAATTTTAAGTGTTACCCTATTGGAGTTTTCTATGGTCTTTTCTTGGAAAATTTACATCCATTTTTAAGTGTTACCCTATTGGAGTTTTCTATGGTCTTTTCTTGGAAAGTTTACATCCATTTTTAAGTGTTATCCTATTGGAGTTTTCTATGGTCTTTTGTTGGAAAGTTTACATCCAATTTTAAGTGTAATCCTATTGGAGTTTTCTATGGTCTTTTGTTGGAAAGTTTACATCCAATTTTAAGTGTTACCCTATTGGAGTTTTCTATGGTCTTTTGTTGGAAAGTTTACATCCAATTTTAAGTGTTACCCTATTGGAGTTTTCTATGGTCTTTTGTTGGAAAGTTTACATCCAATTTTAAGTGTTATCCTATTGGAGTTTTCTATGGTCTTTTTATTGGAGTTTTCTATGGTCTTTTGTTGGAAAGTTTACATCCAATTTTAAGTGTTATCCTATTGGAGTTTTCTATGGTCTTTTGTTGGAAAGTTTACATCCAATTTTAAGTGTTACCCTATTGGAGTTTTCTATGGTCTTTTGTTGGAAAGTTTACATCCAATTTTAAGTGTTATCCTATTGGAGTTTTCTAGGGTCTTTTGTTGGAAAGTTTACATCCAATTTTAAGTGTTACCCTATTGGAGTTTTCTATGGTCTTTTGTTGGAAAGTTTACATCCAATTTTAAGTGTTACCCTATTGGAGTTTTCTATGGTCTTTTGTTGGAAAGTTTACATCCAATTTTAAGTGTTACCCTATTGGAGTTTTCTATGGTCTTTTCTTGGAAAGTTTACATCCAATTTTAAGTGTTACCCTATTGGAGTTTTCTATGGTCTTTTGTTGGAAAGTTTACATCCAATTTTAAGTGTTACCCTATTGGAGTTTTCTAGGGTCTTTTGTTGGAAAGTTTACATCCAGTTTTAAGTGTTACCCTATTAGAGTTTTCTGTTACCCTATTGGAGTTTTCTGTTACCCTATTGGAGTTTTCTGTTACCCTATTGGAGTTTTCTATGGTCTTTTGTTGGAAAGTTTACATCCAATTTTAAGTGTTATCCTATTGGAGTTTTCTATGGTCTTTTGTTGGAAAGTTTACATCCAATTTTAAGTGTTATCCTATTGGAGTTTTCTAGGGTCTTTTGTTGGAAAGTTTACATCCAATTTTAAGTGTTACCCTATTGGAGTTTTCTAGGGTCTTTTGTTGGAAAGTTTACATCCAATTTTAAGTGTTATCCTATTGGAGTTTTCTATGGTCTTTTGTTGGAAAGTTTACATCCAATTTTAAGTGTTACCCTATTGGAGTTTTCTATGGTCTTTTGTTGGAAAGTTTACATCCAATTTTAAGTGTTATCCTATTGGAGTTTTCTATGGTCTTTTGTTGGAAAGTTTACATCCAATTTTAAGTGTTACCCTATTGGAGTTTTCTATGGTCTTTTGTTGGAAAGTTTACATCCAATTTTAAGTGTTACCCTATTGGAGTTTTCTATGGTCTTTTGTTGGAAAGTTTACATCCAATTTTAAGTGTTATCCTATTGGAGTTTTCTATAGTCTTTTGTTGGAAAGTTTACATCCAATTTTAAGTGTTACCCTATTGGAGTTTTCTATGGTCTTTTGTTGGAAAGTTTACATCCAATTTTAAGTGTTACCCTATTGGAGTTTTCTATGGTCTTTTGTTGGAAAGTTTACATCCAATTTTAAGTGTTATCCTATTGGAGTTTTCTATGGTCTTTTGTTGGAAAGTTTACATCCAATTTTAAGTGTTATCCTATTGGAGTTTTCTATGGTCTTTTGTTGGAAAGTTTACATCCAATTTTAAGTGTTACCCTATTGGAGTTTTCTGTTACCCTATTGGAGTTTTCTATGGTCTTTTGTTGGAAAGTTTACATCCAATTTTAAGTTATACCCTATTGGAGTTTTCTAGGGTCTTTTGTTGGAAAGTTTACATCCAATTTTAAGTGTTATCCTATTGGAGTTTTCTGCTATCCTATTGGAGTTTTCTGATACCCTATTGGAGTTTTCTGTTACCCTATTGGAGTTTTCTGTTATCCTATTGGAGTTTTCTATGGTCTTTTGTTGGCAACTTTACATCCAGTTTTAAGTGTTATCCTATTGGAGTTTTCTATGGTCTTTTGTTGGAAAGTTTATATCCAGTTTTAAGTGTTACCCTATTAGAGTTTTCTGTTACCCTATTGGAGTTTTCTGTTACCCTATTGGAGTTTTCTATGGTCTTTTGTTGGAAAGTTTACATCCAATTTTAAGTGTTATCCTATTGGAGTTTTCTATGGTCTTTTGTTGGAAAGTTTACATCCAATTTTAAGTGTTACTCTATTGGAGTTTTCTGTTACCCTATAGGAGTTTTCTATGGTCTTTTGTAGGAAAGTTTACATCCAATTTTAAGTGTTACCCTATTGGAGTTTTCTATGGTCTTTTGTAGGAAAGTTTACATCCAATTTTAAGAATATCCTATTGGAGTTTTCTATGGTCTTTTGTTGGAAAGTTTACATCCAATTTTAAGTGTTATCCTATTGGAGTTTTCTAGGGTCTTTTGTTGGAAAGTTTACATCCAATTTTAAGTGTTACCCTATTGGAGTTTTCTATGGTCTTTTGTTGGAAAGTTTACATCCAATTTTAAGTGTTACCCTATTGGAGTTTTCTATGGTCTTTTGTTGGAAAGTTTACATCCAATTTTAAGTGTTACCCTATTGGAGTTTTCTATGGTCTTTTGTTGGAAAGTTTACATCCAATTTTAAGTGTTACCCTATTGGAGTTTTCTGTGGTCTTTTGTTGGAAAGTTTACATCCAATTTTAAGTGTTATCCTATTGGAGTTTTCTATAGTCTTTTGTTGGAAAGTTTACATCCAATTTTAAGTGTTACCCTATTGGAGTTTTCTATAGTCTTTTGTTGGAAAGTTTACATCCAATTTTAAGTGTTATCCTATTGGAGTTTTCTATGGTCTTTTGTTGGAAAGTTTACATCCAATTTTAAGTGTTACCCTATTGGAGTTTTCTAGGGTCTTTTGTTGGAAAGTTTACATCCAATTTTAAGTGTTACCCTATTGGAGTTTTCTGTGGTCTTTTGTTGGAAAGTTTACATCCAATTTTAAGTGTTATCCTATTGGAGTTTTCTATAGTCTTTTGTTTGAAAGTTTACATCCAATTTTAAGTGTTATCCTATTGGAGTTTTCTAGGGTCTTTTGTTGGAAAGTTTACATCCAATTTTAAGTGTTATCCTATTGGAGTTTTCTGTGGTCTTTTGTTGGAAAGTTTACATCCAATTTTAAGTGTTACCCTATTGGAGTTTTCTATGGTCTTTTGTTGGAAAGTTTACATCCAATTTTAAGTGTTACCCTATTGGAGTTTTCTGTGGTCTTTTGTTGGAAAGTTTACATCCAATTTTAAGTGTTATCCTATTGGAGTTTTCTAGGGTCTTTTGTTGGAAAGTTTACATCCAATTTTAAGTGTTATCCTATTGGAGTTTTCTGTGGTCTTTTGTTGGAAAGTTTACA